CATACATACAAATGTTTAAGCCATTTTCTTCAAAGTTTGCAGCTATTTAAATTAACTTGTGTGGAAAACATAATGTATTGATTCTAAGAGGAAATGTATAGACAAACCTCAGGGGCCATCCAAAATGCAGTGCCTTGAAAAGAGTTGACATCATTCAATTTAGTGACCTGAAAATCAACAAATCAGAAAATATGTCAGAAAAATCACAATAACTCAAAAGCTACTATGGGGAAGAACATAGTTTTAGAATGGAACAAAACCTTTGCCGATCCAAAATCTGCAAGTTTCACAGATCCATTTTGGTCCACCAATATATTTGCACATTTAATATCCCTATTGATACAAGAAAAGAACAAAATTGAGTTTAGACGAACTGACGTAATAGTACAGTACTCATTAATCCACTAAAAGCAACAAATGCCAGTTCAATACAAAATTGAACAAATGTTAATAGTATAGAGACTATGTCCAACCTTATCGCATTAAAATAATTCAAAAATGGAGAAAAGCTTTGAAAAAATACAAATATATTTTCCTGCCGCACTAAAATGAGCAATGCATATTATTCCTCCTTTAAATCACCAAAAAAGGAAAAGAAACCAAAACGTTTTGTCAGGCAATTAAAGCTTCATACATTTCTGAAATTCTTGCTTTTAGCATACTAAGCAATTGATATTCAACTATTGGAAAGTAATATGAATTTCATATTTAATACGCAGACATTTTACCTGTGAACCACACCTTTGCCGTGAAGAAACTTCAGTGCGTACAGAATCTGTCTTGTATAGAAAGAGACTTGAGAATCTTTAAGATTACAACGCTCATAGAGACTTAATAAGGAGCCCTGTGTTATTAGCTCAAGGAAGATATACAAATTTGATTCATCCTAGAAAGACCATAAAATGAAGAAAAAAAGAGTTAGTATATAGATTCATAAAACTGAATTGAAGTTAGCAAGGTATTGGCAGTCTAATTTTTATGATCTCGTATCCTATGCGAAATTTTGATAAGTTTGGGATAAAAAGTTCCAACGTAAACATAAGATCAATGACTGGTAACACGTGAACCATCAACAGAGCAGAGACCTTATGTACTAGGTACCTTGTTGACAATTCTTTACAGCTCATTTTACAGAAGTTTCAAATGGAATAAACAGCATTAATGTTTCCCACATTAATATCAACACTAATAATTTAATAAATAATAACTATTTTATAGTATTTAATTTATCTTATATTTAAAACTTAAAATTAGAAGTATAATTAATCAATATTTTA